ACAGCCCAACCATTTATGTTGCACGTGTTCATGTTCTTGTGTTTGGCCACCATGCACCCACGCGGTTGCGATTTTTCTTATTTGTTTCCCCACATTTTCGGTATTTGTTTGGATGTACTTTATTCTACCCTCACAAATCACCCCAGTTGCCTACAAACATGAGAAATTCACATTTGGTATTCATGTTGCATGAATATGTGACTAAGATCCAGGTGGAGGTGGAATAAGAACCTGGTGCAGGCGAAGAAGGATTCTGGTAAAACTGGTGTAAGATGTCCTGGAAGAGAGAATGTTAGACACAGATGGAGGTAGGGTAAAGGTGTATTCTCAAGGTGCAACTTGTAGTAACAACTCCACCAGGATCTTTCTCCATCCCTACCAGGATCTCATTCCACTTCCAACAGGATCTTTCTCCATCCCTACCAGGATCTCATTCCACTTCCACCAGGATCTTTCTCCATCCCTACCAGGATCTCATTCCACTTCCACCAGGATCTTTCTTCATCCCTACCAGGATCTCATTCCACTTCCACCAGGATCTTTCTCCATCCCTACCAGGATCTCATTCCACTTCCACCAGGATCTTTCTTCATCCCTACCAGGATCTCATTCCACTTCCACCAGGATCTTTCTCCATCCCTACCAGGATCTCATTCCACTTCCACCAGGATCTTTCTCCATCCCTACCAGGATCTCATTCTACTTCCACCAGGATCTTTCTCCATCCCTACCAGGATCTCATTCCACTTCCACCAGGATCTTTCTCCACCCCTACCAGGATCTCATTCCACTTCCACCAGGATCTTTCCCCATCTCTACCAGAATCTCATTACACTTCCACCAGGATCTTTCCCCATCCCTACCAGAATCTCATTCCACTTCCACCAGGATCTTTCTCCATCTCTACCAGAATCTCATTACACTTCCACCAGGATCTTTCCCGAAATCTACCAGAATCTCATTCCACTTCCACCAGGATCTTTCCCCATCTCTACCAGAATCTCATTACACTTCCACCAGGATCTTTCCACATCCCTACCAGAATCCATTACACTTCCACAGGATCTTTCCCCATCCCTACCAGAATCTCATTCCACTTCCACGAGGATCTTTCTCCATCTCTACCAGAATCTCATTCCACTTCCACCAGGATCTTTCCCCATCTCTACCAGAATCTCATTACACTTCCACCAGGATCTTTCCCCATCCCTACCAGAATCTCATTCCACTTCCACCAGGATCTTTCTCCATCTCTACCAGAATCTCATTCCACTTCCACCAGGATCTTTCTCCATCTCTACCAGAATCTCATTCCACTTCCACCAGGATCTTTCCCCATCTCTACCAGAATCTCATTACACTACCAGAATCTCATCTCATTCCACTTCCACCAGGATCTTTCCCCATCTCTACCAGAATCTCATTACACTTCCACCAGGATCTTTCCCCATCCCTACCAGAATCTCATTCCACTTCCACCAGGATCTTTCCCCATCTCTACCAGAATCTCATTACACTTCCACCAGGATCTTTCCCGAAATCTACCAGAATCTCATTCCACTTCCACCAGGATCTTTCCCCATCTCTACCAGAATCTCATTACACTTCCACCAGGATCTTTCCCCATCCCTACCAGAATCTCATTCCACTTCCACGAGGATCTTTCTCCATCTCTACCAGAATCTCATTCCACTTCCACCAGGATCTTTCCCCATCTCTACCAGAATCTCATTACACTTCCACCAGGATCTTTCCCGAAATCTACCAGAATCTCATTCCACTTCCACCAGGATCTTTCCCCATCTCTACCAGAATCTCATTACACTTCCACCAGGATCTTTCCCCATCCCTACCAGAATCTCATTCCACTTCCACCAGGATCTTTCTCCATCTCTACCAGAATCTCATTCCACTTCCACCAGGATCTTTCCCGAAATCTACCAGAATCTCATTCCACTTCCACGAGGATCTTTCCCCATCTCTACCAGAATCTCATTACACTTCCACCAGGATCTTTCCCCATCCCTACCAGAATCTCATTCCACTTCCACCAGGATCTTTCTCCATCTCTACCAGAATCTCATTCCACTTCCACCAGGATCTTTCCCCATCTCTACCAGAATCTCATTACACTTCCACCAGGATCTTTCCCGAAATCTACCAGAATCTCATTCCACTTCCACCAGGATCTTTCCCCATCTCTACCAGGATCTCCCTCCACTTCCATCAAGATTTTACTCCACATTCACCAGGATCTCCCTCCATCTCCACCAGGATGTTACTCCACCTCCAACAGGATCTCCCTCCACCTCTACCAATATCTCATTCTACCCCCACCAGGGTATCCTTCCATCTCCACCAGGATCTTACTTCTATGCTACAACGTGCCATGGTTGTCTTGAACGTTATGCATCATATAATCTATCATGGTTGTCTTGAACAACAAGTGTCCTATAACCAACCATGGTTGTCTTGAACGATATGTGTCCTATACCTAACCATGGTTGTCTTCAACGTTATGTACCCTATAACCTACCATGGTTGTCTTGAACGTCATGTACCCTATAACCTACTATGTTTGTCTTGAACGTTTTGTACCCTATAACCTGCTATGGTTGTCTTGATCGTCATGTACCCTATAACCTACCTTGGTTGTCTTGAACGTCATGTGCCCTATAACCTACTATGGTTGTCTTGAACGTAATGTACCCTATAACCTGCCATGGTTGTCTTGAATGTCATGTACCCTATAACCTACTATAGTTGTCTTGAACGTCATGTACCCTATAACCTACTATGGTTGTCTTGAACGTTATGTACCCTATAACCTACTATAGTTGTCTTGAACGTCATGTACCCTATAACCTACTATAGTTGTCTTGAACGTCATGTACCCTATAACCTGCCATGGTTGTCTTGAACGTCATGTACCCTATAACCTACTATGGTTATCTTGATCGTCATGTACCCTATAACCTAACATGATTGTCTTGAACGTCATGTACCCTATAACCTACCATGGTTGTCTTGAACGTCATGTACCCTATAACCTACCATGGTTGTCTTGAACGTCATGTACCCTATAACCTACCATGATTGTCTTGAACGTCATGTACCCTATAACCTACTATGGTTGTCTTGAACGTCATGTACCCTATAACCTACTATATGGTTGTCTTGAACGTCATTACCTACTATAGTTGTCTTGAACGTCATATATCCTATAACCTACCATGGTTGTCTTGAACGTCATGTACCCTATAACCTACCATAGTTGTCTTGAACGTTATGTACCCTATAACCTACTATAGTTGTCTTGAACGTTATGTACCCTATAACCTACTATAGTTGTCTTGAACGTCATGTACCCTATAACCTACTATAGTTGTCTTGAACGTCATGTACCCTATAACCTACCATAGTTGTCTTGAACGTTATGTACCCTATAACCTACTATAGTTGTCTTGAACGTCATGTACCCTATAACCTACCATAGTTGTCTTGAACGTTATGTACCCTATAACCTACCATAGTTGTCTTGAACGTTATGTACCCTATAACCTACTATAGTTGTCTTGAACGTCATGTACCCTATAACCTACCATAGTTGTCTTGAACGTCATGTACCCTATAACCTACCATAGTTGTCTTGAACGTCATGTACCCTATAATCTACCATAGTTGTCTTGAACGTTATGCATCCTATAATCTACTATCGTTGTCTTGAACGTTATGTACCCTATAACCTACTATAGTTGTCTTGAACGTTATGTACCCTATAACCTACTATAGTTGTCTTGAACGTCATGTACCCTATAATCTACCATGTTTGTCTTGAACGTCATGAACCCCATAACCTACTATAGTTGTCTTGAACGTCATGTACCCTATAATCTACCATGTTTGTCTATAACCTACTATAGTTGTCTTATGTACCCTATAACCTACCATAGTTGTCTTGAACGTCATGAACCCTATAACCTACTATAGTTGTCTTGAACGCCATGTACCCTATAATCTACCATGTTTGTCTTGAACGTCATGTACCCTATAACCTACTATGGTTGTCTTGAACGTTATGCATCCTATAATCTACCATGTTTGTCTTGAACGTTATGTACCCTATAACCTACTATAGTTGTCTTGAACGTCATGCATAACCTACCATATAATCTACTATATAGTTGTCTTGAACGTCATGTACCCTATAATCTACCATGTTTGTCTTGAACGTTATGTACCCTATAACCTACTATGGTTGTCTTGAACGTTATGCATCCTATAATCTACCATCATTGTCTTGAACGTCGTGTATCCTATAACCTACTATGGTTGCACTGATAGTCACTCATTCATAAACGTTGTGCTGTGGATTAATGCGGACCTACGATGAGAAAATATGAAATCTGAAAATATTCGACCCTAAAATGGTGCGAGTTTAAAGTGTGTAAGAAACAGATTACTGACACTCGTTTAGTAATCTCTATATCCTATAATGTGCCATGTTTGCCTTGAACGTCCAGGTTCACGATGAACGTTAGGGATCCGTGACTTGCTATAGTTGTCATACTCCAAAACCACCAGGTTCAGCTCGTGTTGATGAATGCAATAGCAATGAACGAAGCCACACATGCACATATTGTTTCATAATTAGGCCTCTACTGTGTTGAGCTGGCAATGAATGAAACACAATGTTCTTCTCACAACTTTATTTCCAAGTCATAGATATTGAACCGCTCCCTTGGAAGGACAATACTGAGTATACAGTCAATGTTTAGTACATGGACATGACCAACATTCATGACAGAACGTCAGAAGTGACGACGGTATATATTTCACTCTAGTTTATTTCGTAATGACCTGAGGGTGTAAGGTAAGTAGCACTCTTGTTATCGGATGTTTGGCCCACATGCAACCAAAAGTCCAAGAGTCCAATGTTTTTATCGGTTTTTATCTCCCATAAAAGAGACACCAATGTTATCACCCACGTTCAGTGGGACTCGGATTTCGTTATACAGATTGACGTCCATATGCAGCTAGACTTTAGGTTGTTGACGCTACTTGTCTCCCGCACACGAGACTTGTAGGTTGTTATCAGGTCTTTTATCTCATATACGATACTTGAAGGTTGTTACCAGGACTTATATCTCACATACGATACTTGTAGGTTGTTACCAGGACTTATATCTCACATACAAGACTTGTAGGTTGTTATCGGGTCTTATATCTCACATACGATACTTGTAGGTTGTTACCAGGACTTATATCTCACATACAAGACTTGTAGGTTGTTATCGGGTCTTATATCTCACATACGATACTTGTAGGTTGTTACCAGGACTTATATCTCACATACAAGACTTGTAGGTTGTTATCAGGTCTTATATCTCACATACGATACTTGTAGGTTGTTACCAGGACTTATATCTCACACACAAGACTTGTAGGTTGTTATCAGGTCTTATATTTCACATACGATACTTGTAGGTTGTTACCAGGACTTATATCTCACACACAAGACTTGTAGGTTGTTATCAGGTCTTATATCTCACATACAAGACTTGTAGGTTGTTATCAGGTCTTATCTCGCATATACGAGACTTATAGGTTGTTACCAGGACTTATCTCCTACGATTGATTGATTCCGATCACCACGATTAAATGCGATATGTTGCGCTTTGTTACAAGGCAATACGATCTGATGCGATGAGCACGATTGACAATTAATCGCGTTGATCGTAGCAAATGTTTTAACCGTCCAAAAATTTTATACGATCAACACGATTGCCACGACTGACCTCAAGATCTGATAAGATCTGATAGGGTCACCACGATTAGTCCACGATTCGTGATAGTGTGAACATAGCACGACATACAAGATTCCAATGCTGTTTTCGGAATTTAAATTCCATGCATAACGAACCTCCCAGCTTGTTAACGACGGGACTCCTATCATTAAAGGTTAACGAGGTTGTATTATTACCTATCCCCACATATGAGATTTTTATCAGGTTGCAATGGGACCTGATCTCCTACAGATAACGAGACTTGTTGCGATTTTGCTCCGACATGCAACAAAATTCAGTGTCTGTTTCGGGATTTGAATTCCATGCATAACGAACCTCCTAGCTTGTTAACTCGACATGATGAAGAACATGCCATAAAAAACTATACGTTAGCATGTACGACGTATGTAAAGATATTAGGTCTAACACCAGCGGCGCGTCTGCATTCAGTCAAGAGCCTGACTTGACTCTGAGACAGAGGCGCAAGAGGGATGCTGAAAGACGCTCTGGAACACGTGTTATCATCATGGTTGACTGCCTTTGTACAACTGATTGTACATGGCAAAGAAGGCAAATGGTCTGACCGACCCAGTAAACAAAGATTATCACAGTCGCCATGCTGATACTATAACAACGATTTGACAGTAACGCGACGGTAGCATGTGACACATGTTTAAACGAAATCATGATAAAAGCACCATGGCAATATATCTGAAATTACAGATCCGTTGAATACTGACCTAAAACACTGTGGTTATGTAGACGATTACTAGTTACAAGTCTTGTGTGCATGTTGATTTGTACACGTGACGATGATGAATGCTTTCAGTAATGTATGAAAACCGATCAGCTTGTTTTCACTGTGGGATCATTTACAAGACTGCAACAATGTAAACATCTAAAACGATTCATTCCCTCCTTGATACAATCTTTGATGATCATGATGTTTACAATCATTACATGTTGACACAATGCGCCCAAACAAAACAAAAAGTCAACAAAACACTGCAACAATAACCATAGTTCTCGAACAAATTCCCTACCCATAAGGCAAGCTAATCCCGTATCCATAGGCGTAGAAATGAGGTGTGAAGGACACATATATGTCTGGAAGCATCGAACCCGAAAGGAATACAATATACACGACTGAGTGGACAAACAGTAAAACATTCATTAACATCAACACGTATAGTTCACCCACTTCCTTGTGAATAAACGTCCTTGATAAAGATGTTATGGTATCTATCTTCCAACGTTTCAAGGGTCTTGTTTTCCGAAGTTTTTCTCACTACAAATGGAAATCGGTCTTGGAGCAGATGACAAGGGAGCCTTGCTCTACAATAAGAAGGAACATCCATCTCCATCCTGTGGTCATACGAGTTAGAAACACACATGTCGATGTTATATGTTACTTGCAAGAACTCTCGTGTCTTCATAGGTGCTGGAAGCATCATTCCCATGAATGGTCTCATGGTCAGAGGAAACACTATATTTTTGTTAAATTTCTTTTTGGCTTCTCTAGCATCTTGAATGTATGTGGGATATTCCACATAGAAGAATATGTCAACGAATGGCCAATTCCATGGTTTTTTCGCCGCCTTGGGTGAGTCTTTATGATAGAACTTCCATGTATTGTTCCAACCAGTGTAATGCTCATATTCTGGTGGAAGAGACTGCAGTGTTTTCAGTAGTGCCGCCCTGTCGTTGTTGTTGACGATGATGTCCATGTCGTCGTCCCAAGGAATCAGCCCATGGTGGGAGTAGGATCCGAGAAGCGCCCCCGCGTACAGGAAATATGTAACATTTTTCGACACCCTTTCACTAAATATTTTTATTAGATCCCTAAATTTATTCTTTTCTTCTTCTGATATCCTTTCAAAAAATAACGACCTGGCTCGATGGAAATTCAAATCCTTACGGTTCCTGTTCCACTGTGGGGTATAACCGTGCCTTTCCTTTCCGATACAGCTCGATAGTAAGTCTCGTGTCATATAGGCGTACAGGAAGTAGGTACTACAACAGAAGGTCAAGGTCACACATACTAACATGCCCTTTTTAGACGTCATATTTTAGTCAAACTCATTCGTTTTCACTATCTTGTTACACTCAAGGTCAGGCTGTTCCCATTCCGTGTTCTTTTATCAGATTCCAGTAGTCCCTGAAAATGAAGCAGTAAATCATGGGGAATAATGAATGGTTGACTTGGATGGAAACGAGCAAATGTTATCATTGATTCTGTTACTTTATCAAAGTAATCACAATTACACAAAACAGTGGCTTTGATTCACAATAAGCACCCATAACAGGTACTAGATACCAGATCTCAAATATATCAGTGACGAAATATCACACAAGAGATCAACACTAATGTTGTTAACATGACAATTCGTCCTGATTACTCTCACACATACACACACACTCACACTCTCTCACACTCTCACACACTCACACAAACTCTCACACACACACTCACTCACTCACACACACACTCACTCACTCACTGAATGAATACGGTTTTAAGCCGCATTTAGCATGTTGGGAAATCGAAACCGTGTCATCAGCGTGACGAGCGGCCGCTTTAACAACTAGGCTACCCCACCGCCCCTACACACACATGAACTTGTCGCTGATGTTACGTCGTGTTGCTTGGAAACAGATACACAGGGGCGTGTCTCGCTTTGAAACAGCATTAGAAAGACCTATAGGTATATAGACCCTACCCTACAGATCACTTGAATGTCAAGGCCATCTATGGCCGACAAGTGGGTTTGATTGCCGATGGTTTTGGAGAAAAAGCCTGCTTACTGTCGAGGAAATGATTTGTAGATGTTGCAATAACTTTTTAGACCCGTGGAATGCCGCTGCCGATCGAATCTAGCCCTACATAGGTGCTGTCAATGTGGCTGGAATTAATATACGAATTTAAAAGGTGAGTTTTCGCTGTCTTGGGTGATCATGATTTTGGCTTGGAATTGCGGAGGTAGCTGTTTTCGGTGAGTCGTGGCGTATAACTTTTGAAATAATGATCCGATTGTGACCATTTATAGCTCATTTTGTAGGGTAATTATCTCGCTTTCGATCCGTAGTCCTCGACGGGGCCTTAAAAATAGTTTACGTGGTGAAATCTAACTTTGATTGAGTAGGTGGTGGTTCCGTCGTTACATCGCTTTCCTTTTATATAGTTCTAGGGTAGGGTCTATATACCTATAGGTCTTTCTAATGCTGTTTCAAAGCGTGACACGCCCCTGTGATCAGATATGTCTCTTAAATCTCCATAAAACAGGTTCATATAAACCTGCTCCCAGCCATAAACCACTTTAACATAACTACATGGAAGCACAGCTAGGAGGGTCTACCTGTAAAATACCCGCTGTAGAGGGGGCGATACACACTAGATAGGGAAGGAGGGATTTTCATGTACATGCCGGGAAGGGGGAGAAATATGCATATACCTGATTGTGACAGGAGAAATATGCAGAAACCTGCTGGTGATATGGGACAAATACATATACCTGCTGGTGATATGGGACAAATACATATACCTGCTGGTGATATGGGACAAATACATATACCTGCTGGTGATATGGGACAAATACATATACCTGCTGGTGATATGGGACAAATACATATACCTGCTGGTGATATGGGACAAATACATATACCTGCTGGTGATATGGGACAAATACATATACCTGCTGGTGACATGGGACAAATACATATACCTGCTGGTGATATGGGGGAAATACATATACCTGATTGTGACAGGGGAAATACATATACCTGATTGTGACAGGGGAAACACATATACCTGATTGTGACAGGGGAAATACATATACCTGATTGTGATGGGGGAAATACATATACCTGATTGTGACAGGAGAAAAATACATATACCTGCTGGTGATATGGGACAAATACATATACCTGCTGGTGATATGGGACAAATACATATACCTGCTGGTGATATGGGACAAATACATATACCTGCTGGTGATATGGGGGAAATACATATACCTGCTGGTGATATGGGACAAATACATATACCTGCTGGTGATATGGGACAAATACATATACCTGCTGGTGATATGGGACAAATACATATACCTGCTGGTGATATGGGACAAATACATATACCTGCTGGTGATATGGGACAAATACATATACCTGCTGGTGATATGGGACAAATACATATACCTGCTGGTGATATGGGACAAATACATATACCTGCTGGTGATATGGGACAAATACATATACCTGCTGGTGATATGGGACAAATACATATACCTGCTGGTGATATGGGACAAATACATATACCTGCTGGTGATATAGGGGAAATACAAATCCCTGATTGTGACAAAGGAAATACATATACCTGCTGGTGACATGGGACAAATACATATACCTGCTGGTGATATGGGGGAAATACATATACCTGCTGGTGATATGGGACAAATACATATACCTGCTGGTGATATGGGACAAATACATATACCTGCTGGTGATATGGGACAAATACATATACCTGCTGGTGATATGGGACAATACATATACCTGCTGGTGATATGGGACAAATACATATACCTGCTGGTGATATGGGACAAATACATATACCTGCTGGTGATATGGGACAAATACATATACCTGCTGGTGATATGGGACAAATACATATACCTGCTGGTGATATGGGAGAAATACATATACCTGCTGGTGATATGGGACAAATACATATACCTGCTGGTGATATGGGACAAATACATATACCTGCTGGTGATATGGGACAAATACATATACCTGCTGGTGATATGGGACAAATACATATACCATACCTGCTGGTGATATGGGGGAAATACATATACCTGCTGGTGATATGGGACAAATACATATACCTGCTGGTGATATAGGGGAAATACAAATCCCTGATTGTGACAAAGGAAATACATATACCTGATTGTGACAGGGGAAATACATTTACCTGCTGGTGATTGGGAAATACATATACCTGCTGGTAATATGGGACAAATACATATACCTGCTGGTGATATGGGACAAATACATATACCTGCTGTTGATATGGGGGAAATACAAATCCCTGATTGTGACAAAGGAAATACATATACCTGATTGTGACAGGGGAAATATGCATATATCTGCTTAGTTTGGGATTATACATATTCCAAGTCGGGGAGGGGAAGGAGATGATAGACATATCACTGCTGGTGACGGGGCAGATATACCTGCTAAGTTTAGGATTAAATACCCTTACGGTCCTATTTGTGAAGGTTTGGATAGTAGAACAATTCAGGATCTCATGCAAAATCCATGTTTGTCTTTGACTTTTTCGTTATACGTGCTTCTTCCGCCGCTCTGTAATGTTAGCGAGTTGGATGAAGCAGATAAATTCAAAGATCAACACATTCGCAGACATTATGATGGAGAGTGTGGGGAACACGATTAACTTCAACGTGATAAGACTCCAGTCAGTTTGAATTATGTATGATGAATAGTGAACTTATGAAACGGTAAATAATTAATGGGAAATACAACGTGTCCCATTGCAGGGAGGTGGGAGCACACTGTACCTGCTCGGGAGACACAACGCCAATATCCTTGTTATTCTGTTATCCCAGTCAAGATTGTTGGTGCTCTTGCGCGGCTTTGTCAACTGCAAAAGATAAATCGTAGAGCTGTATCTTATGCGAGATGGAATTACCCATGCACATGAAAACCATGTCGATGTGCGTGTGTGTGTCTGTGTGAGAGAGAGAGAGAGAGAGAGAGAGAGAGAGAGAGGAAGGAGGGAGAGAGAGAGGGAGAGAAAGAGGAAGAGAGAGAGAAAAAGAGGAAACAGGGAGAGAGAGAGAGAGAGAGAGAGAGAGAGGGAGAGAGAGAGGAAGGACGGAAGAGAGGGGAGAAAGAGGAAGGAGGGAGAGAGGGAGGGGAGAGAGGGAGGGAGGAGAGTGACTCTGGTAAATGGTGACATGTCCACAACGATTGCCGCTGACATCGTTTGTCCTTTAAATAACTTAATTATATAATACATCCTCATTTGAAGGCTAAACGACATATTTCACAGTGGCGGATCCGGGGTGGTGGGGTTGGTGGTGTGTGTTTCAGGGGGTTAGAACCCCCCACCCCCACCCCCCTCCCTTTTGAAAATGACTTAAGATCACATTGAAGATTTTTTTTTGCGTTGGCGGAGCCAATGGGGGGCTCCTTTCAAAATTCCTGGATCCGCCCATGTTTCAAATCCCGTAGCAGGGTGTGCAAACCTATAGAGCAGCTCTTAGGTTGGGGACAGTTCAGCTATCTACATGCATGGTATTTAAGAGCTGATTATATATGAGCGGCCACGAGGTTCAGGGAGAGTCACTGGAAATCAATCTTTCTCATTCGCCATGCAAGTTTTTTAGAAAAACATATCTTCAACAATGGCGAGCTATGTTGGGATGCTCTTCGCAGGCAGTTACACTGAGTATAGTATCATCTAATACCACGACAAATGACTAATACGAGTCGGTACCAGATCCCCGTTGCAGCTCAAGTCTGCTGCACTTGGCGGTTTCATCGTAAAAGCAGATACGTCCTTATTGATCAGACAGGAATAAGGTTGCCAAGCAACGCTCGCTTTCTCCCACTCTCTGCCGCGTCACGCAAGAGCTTTGTCGGAATTATCCGAACTGACCATTTTGTGCCTGTTACAATGCGTCAAATCAATATTACTAAGGAGCTTGCATTTGTCCCCATTACAGATTTTCGGCTATTATGATCCTTCGTTGTCAGTACCGTCTTCTTTGATGGCATTGGAAGAGACAAACAGCCACTGCCTGTATTGATTGATATAGTTGCCCCCTGAACTGTGATAAAGGGCTCTCCACTCTTAAAATACATTGGTAGGGCGTTAACACATGGCATCACCACATACAGACGGTCTTATCTATATAGCATCACTACATACAGGCGGTCCTAACTAGATAGCATCACCACATACAGGCGGTCCTGTCTATATAACATCACCAAATACACACGGTTCTGTCTATATAGCATCACCACATACAGGCGGTCCTAACTAGATAGCATCACCACATACAGGCGGTCCTGTCTATATAACATCACCACATACAGATGGTCCTGTCTATATAGCATCACTACATACAGACAGTCCTGTCTATCTAGCATCACCACATACAGGCAGCCTATCTATCTAGCATCACCACATACAGACAGCCTGTCTATATAGCATCACCACATACAGACGGTCCTGTCTATATAGCATCACCACATACAGGCAGCCTGTCTATCTAGCATCACTAAATACAGACGGTGTTGTCTATCTAGCATCACCACATACATACGGTCCTGTCTATATAGCATCACCACATACAAGCAGCCTGTCTATCTAGCATCACCACATACAGACGGGACTGTCTATCTTGCATCACCACATACATACGGTCCTGTCTATATAGCATCACCACATACAGGCAGCCTGTCTATATAGCATCACCACATACAGGCGGTCCTGTCTATATAGCATCACTACATACAGGCAACCTGTCTATCTAGCATCACCACATACAGGCAGTCCTGTCTATATAGCATCACCACATACAGGCGGTCTTGTCTTTATAGCATCACCACATACAGGCGGCCCTGTCTGTATAGCATCACCACATGCAGGCAGTCCTGTCTATATAGCATCACCACATACAGGCAGCCTGTCTATCTAGCATCACCACATACAGGCAGTCCTGTCTATATAGCATCACCACATACAGGCAGCCTGTCTATATAGCATCGCCCCATACAGGCAGTCCTGCCTATATAGCATCACTACATACAGGCAGCCCTGTCTATACAGCATCACCACATACAGGCAGCCTGGCTATCTAGCATCACCACATACAGGCAGTCCTGTCTATATAGCATCGCCCCATACCGGCAGTCCTGTCTATATGGCATCACCACATACTGACAGTCCTGTCTATACAGCATCACCACATACAGGCAGCCTGGCTATCTAGCATCACCACATACAGGCAGTCCTGTCTATATAGCATCACCACATGCAGGCAGTCCTGTCTATATAGCATCACCACATACAGGCAGCCCTGTCTATATAGCATCACCACATACAGGCAGCCCTGTCTATATAGCATCACCACATACAAGCAGTCCTGTCTATATAGCATCACCACATACAGACAGTCCTGCCTATATAGCATCACTACATACAGACAGTCCTGTCTATATAGCATCACCACATACAGGCAGCCTGTCTATCTAGCATCACCACATACAGGCAGCCTGTCTATATAGCATCACCCCATACAGGCAGTCCTGTCTATATAGCATCACCACATACAGACGGTCCTGTCTATCTAGCATCACTACATACGGGCGGCCCTGTTTATCTAGCATCACCACATACAGGCGGCCCTGTCTAGATCGCCTCACCACATACAGGTGGTCAGGGACTGACCATCTAGCATCACCACATACAGGCAGCCTGTCTATCTAGCATCACCACACACAGGCAGCCTGTCTATCTAGCATCACCACATACAGGCAGTCCTGCCTATAAAGCATCACCACATACAGGCGGTCCTGTCTATATAGCATCACCACATACAGGCGGTCCTGTCTATATAGCACCACCACATGCAGGAGGTCATGTCTATATAGTGAAGCCCATTTCTGCTGTCCCCCGCCGTGATATTGCTGGAATATTGCTCAAAGCGGCGTAAAACCAAAACTCAGTCAGTCAGTCAGTCTATATAGCATCACCACATACATGCGGTCCTGTCTATATAGCATCACCACATACAGGCGGTCCTGTCTATATAACACCACCACATGCAGGAGGTCATGTCTATATAGCATCACCACAAACAGGCGATCCTGTCTATATAGTGAAGCCCATTTCTGGTGTCCCCCGCCGTGATATTGCTGGAATATTGCTCAAAGCGTCGTAAAACCAAAACTCAGTCAGTCAGTCAGTCTATATAGCATCACCACATACATGCGGTCCTGTCTATATAGCATCACCACATGCAGGCAGTCCTGTCTATATAGCATCACCACATACAGGCAGCCCTGTCTATATAGCATCACCACATACAGGCAGCCCTGTCTATATAGCATCACCACATACAAGCAGTCCTGTCTATATAGCATCACCACATACAGACAGTCCTGCCTATATAGCATCACCACATACATACGGTCCTGTCTATATAGCCTAACCACATACAGACGGCCCTGTCTATCTAGCATCACCACATACAGGCGGCCCTGTCTAGATCGCCTCACCACATACAGGCGGTCCTGTCTAGATCGCCTCACCACATACAGGCGGCCCTGTCTAGATCGCCTCACCACATACAGGCGGCCCTGTCTAGATCGCCTCACCACATACAGGCGGTCATGGACTGACCATGTAGCATCACCACATACAGGCGGTCTTGCATCACTACATCACCACATACAGGCGGTCTTGCATCACCACAACTCCACAAGGCTCATGCATGGAAATTGTTGTTTCATCACCATGTAGCATCACCACATACAAGCAGTCCTGTCTATATAGCATCACCACATACAGACAGTCCTGCCTGACCAGCATAGCATCACCATACATACTGTCTAGGCGGTCTTGCATACACGGCCCTGTCTATCTATCACCACATACAGGCGGGTCTTGCATCACCACATACAGGCGGCCCTGTCTAGATCGCCTCACCACATACAGGCGGTCAGGCATCACTACATCACCACATACAGGCGGTCTTGCATCACCACAACACCACAAGGCTCATGCATGGAAATTGTTGTTTCTGTAAATTGAACACAATGATCTGAAAATAGTAAAACTGTTTCAGCAAGCTGTTGGATCGCATAGATGTCACTATAAGAATCTGTGAGGAAATGTCGCTATCAATGAAAGGTTAAACGCCCCTGAAAAGGTATACTCAGGGATCAAACAAAGCACATACATTATCAGTATGTTATAACTAGACGCGTAGATTTCAAGATGATAATACGTTGTAGACAATAGCATATACATCCCAGTCCTGCATGTGTTACCAGAGCCAGAACTGTTGAAATGTGATCAAATAACGGTTTATTCAGATTCCAGAGCAAATGGCTTAATGTAACAATCAACGGGGCAGATGTTCAAGCTTTGTCATCCGGAACCAGACTGTCATGATAAATAGCTTTAGGCATTTCATCTGTGGTATGAGCTATTGGTACCATATTAAAATACAGTAGCCTTAACAGGTCACAGTAAGACTGACTGTATTTATCAGACATATATAAAAAAATGATGTATTTATGTTCCACACATTTAAAATTAATGTTGCATTTTACGTGACCTGTTTACATAGGAACAGTGTGAAAAGAGATTTATACAGAGTGCCACATAAAACACAAAGCGATGAACTTGTAGCCTTGTATATTTACATGAACTGTGAAAAATCAGTGTCTACCATGTGAACCGAAGATGATGTTTAAGCTTCATCTCTGTTCAGAATCAATAATTTTTGGAATGTGATGATAAACTTTATCGTCTTCTATTCAGTATCATATCCGTAGGCTGTGTGACTGCAATTATGATGACTGGAGACGGATTCGTTGGTGGGAGTAAGAGAGACAATAAACCCTGCATATTCATGAAAGGGGTCATGTAATATTGGTAACACACCCTCCTGCCACCATGACATACACCAACAGTGGTGCCGCCCCCAGTTCTTGAGTTGATGGTTGAAACGCGGGGTTCCTTACTGCATGATTGCAAAATACGCGCTTGCCAGTGCCAATAACGGTACTTTAACACAAATGTGTTGAAACGTAGTTGAATGAATAAGTAGAATAATTAATAGAATATGTAGTTATAGGGGAATACATGGGAGAAATGTCGGGAGTTATTGAGAGAGAGCCGTCCTTACCTTATGTGGATCAGGCGATGAGGACACTATAGATCAGTCTGCCTGTGCTTCTGCATGATGAGTGAAGCTCTCATAAGTGCCATGGCCAAGCTGCTCACAGCAGATCAAGTGCGGTTTCCCCAACGACTTCTCACTTGGTATTGACAGACACGGCCTTTAAACGAATGTCGCGGCGATATTTTCCATGTTCTAGCGTGTGTGTGAAGGTCGTGTAGCCTGGTGCGTTTGGGCGGTGATAACAGATGTGGGATCGTTTGTGTACACATGATAAAATTGGTATTGTGGTGGGTGTTTGTGAGAGGGTAAAGGTAATACAGAGGCAAGATGGCTGCGTTTTGATTTTGTACAGATGGTTGAGATTTCAATTCAACAGCTTTATTCAGTGAGAGGTTTGCTTGGGAAAATGCGTAGAAAATATTAAATATTTTTATTTATTTTTAAATGTGTGCTCCTTTTCTCGTTTGCATGATATAAAGATAGACATATATATATATAATATTCGTGTCGGTGTTCTCAGTTTTGTGTTCTTGTGCTGTGTTTGTGTGTAGAGATGGTATTGTGTTGTGTTCATTTTGAAATAACAGTATGTTCTGTCGGTGTGAACACAGCTTTCTGTTTGTGGACATGCTAGTGTGTTTGTGTGGAGATTATAGTGTTGTGTTTGACTGGACAGTGTCTATTGAACACAAATGTAGGTGAAATATATTTCATCTACATCTTGACCCAGTCTTGACATTTTTTCTGTACCAACTATTCGGTATCCCACAATCAGTCCTATCTAATGTGATTGTAGCTTACCCTCTCAGGCATGGGAGTTCGAGGGAAATAAGCAAACATAAGCAAACAGGCATTGGTTAGGAGGAGATGACAATGGCAGAGCTAACCAGGCAGTTCCTTATATGCAACTTGGATTGTATGGTTAGGAGGAGATGGCAATGGCAGAGATAACGGGCAGTTCCTCATATACAACTTGGATTGTATGGTTAGGAGAAGGCAATGGCAGAGCTAACCAGGCAGCTCCTCATATGCAACTTGGATTGTATGGTTAGGAGGAGATGGCAATGTCAGAGTTAGCCAGGCAGTTCCTCATATACAACTTGGATTGTATGGTTAGGAGGAGAGGGCAATGACAGAGCTAACAGGCAGCTCCTCATATGCAACTCGGATTGTATGGTTAGGAGGAGATGGCAATGGCAGAGTTAGCCAGGCAGTTCCTCATATACAACTTGGATTGTATGGTTAGGAGGAGAGGGCAATGACAGAGCTAACAGGCAGCTCCTCATATGCAACTCGGATTGTATGGTTAGGAGGAGAGGGCAATGGCAGAGCTAACGGGCAGTTCCTCATATACAACTTGGATTGTATGGTTAGGAGGAGATGGCAACGCAGAGCTAACCAGGCAGTTCCTCATATGCAACTTGGATTGTATGGTTAGGAGGAGATGTATGGAAAGTGTCAATAAGAAAAATCTGACAAATATTGCTGAAGTGAAAGAAGAGGTGGTCCGATATTGGGACAGCATGGACCACGACTTTCTAACTTCTTTGATCAATAGTATGCCCCGCCGCATTGAAGCCTGCATTGCTGCCCATGGTGACTTGACAAAATACTAACTGTTCACCTTTCTTTGAATCTGGAGTTATGTTCTGCTAATATTCACATTTAATACGTGAGTAATGAGTGAAAAAAATATAAAAAATTACAATCTTAAATTCTCAATAATATCTGGTTGTACTGTATATATGCAGCTCTGTGTGTGTAATTGCCATCTCCTCATATGTGTGTGTATTAGGAGAAGACAATTACACACACACACACAGATGGTTATACACAGACACATCATGTATGTATATCTATATAGAGTTAGTGGTGTGTGTGTGTGTGTGTGTGTGTGTGTTTGTTGTTGTTTGGGGGGGGGGGGTGCGTGCGTGCGTGTGTGTGTGTGTGTGTGTGTGTGTGAGAGAGAGAGAGAGATTCTCATCACCAACATTAATATTATAAGCTGTCCTCATCAGCTACCAGTCGGCATACCAGAGTCGGTAGGCTACAGTATAGGTTCTCGGTTCACGTTATCACTGACACAGATAAAGACTTCTCATTCGTTGCCAGGCTAATGTTGAGCGCACACCGTAGATAACGTTCATCATGACATTGTGAGTCATGTAGTGTTTAATGCAGAGGGTTAGTTAATGTTAGTGATAGGTCATTCTAGAATTTCAGGCAGACCATGATTGTGACAAAGTAAGGACAAGTAACGTTTCTTCCAGATTTAATAATAATAATAATAATAATAACAATAATGTTTTCTGCTAGTATTGCGCTTAAACTCCATGCGTTTCATGCTCAAAGCGCTGACAGGTATCAGGGAAAAGGTGGGTTTTGAGAATGCGTTTGAAGAGTTCACATGAATAAATGGCTCTGAGCTCTGTAGGGAGAGAGCTCCGAAGTTGTGTTGCTGCAAGTGAAATAATCTGTAGCCATAAGTTTTCAGTTTATATGAGAGCAGTTGAAGTTGTAGTTGGGTGGTGGATCACAACAACCTTGCAGGGGTATACACACAGACAAGGTCTTGCAGGTACTGCGGAGCTTTGCCGTACACGCGCTGGTTGGTCAGTACTGGCTCTTTAAACTCAATCCGCTGTTTTTACATGTAGCCAGTGAAGCTGCCGGAGCATTGGTGATGTGTTAGACTCCATCTTTGTTCAAACCACAATTCTGGCAGCAACATTTTGAACCTTCTGCGAGCGCTTGATGTTCTCTGCTGATGTTCCAATGAGGATGCTGTTTCAGTAGTCGAGTCCTGACAAGATCAATGACCTGACAGTTGACGCAGCTGCTGACTGTGTGATCATATGGCGGATACTTCCGATAGATCTGATTACAGGCAAACAATAGCGCAAATAGGGTTGCGCAACACAGAAAAATTACCAGTCTTCCTATATGCGAGCGAAGCGAGCAAAGGTTAGCAACGTACATCCCTCGCTTCAGTTCGAGAAATATTTTTAGCATCAAAATATTAATATCGCCCCCACTAAAGGTAGACATCCATTTCCTCACAGGATTGTGCTCTCAGATTTCCAACCTCATATCTAATAATTACATTTTAACATTTTAAGCGCCACTTATCAAATCGTTCTTCGCCTCCATTATCCCTGCCAGCTTCCGGTTCAACGGAGTGAGAAACAGGGGAGTTAACTCTTATTATTCTTGTTGAATCACATGTGTGAAGCCCATACTTGCGACGTTACCTCCCCTGTTTTCATTCACCCACTACGTCAGCAGTGCTTTTTTATAGAATAAATGCTCTGAAAATTCTAACCATAACGACGGCAGAAAGGAAAAATAATCTTCAACAGTTTAATGGTAAAATTAGGCAATATGATATTTCTTTATAATTTCTGCTTATTCTTGTTACTTCACTCCGTTGAACCGGAAGCTGGCATTTTATCGTGGTAATTCAACAAGTCCAAGTAATCACTTATTAAACTGAACATTGTCAACTTGTACATTTTAGCTTCAGGCGAATATACTAAGACTACATGCGGGGAGCTATTGTTTTATTGATTTTCCAGATCAGTTGGCTGCCACCAGTAACGTTCTTGACCCGAATAAGATGACGCTAAAAATAGCAGTCCAACCACATTACATCCATAACGAGAGAAAAACTGTGCTAAGAGGCAGATGCGATGGATGTGGTGACGTCACTTCCGCACGAAATTATGGTGGCAGCTGGGAATTATTCCAGGGAATTAATCATTTTGGCGGTGTGGTACCCTGGATAATCGAAGATATTCAGTGTGAGATATACAAATGATTATGCCAGAGATCTAGTTTATGTGAGTGTGGGATATACAAACATTAATAACAGAGATCTGGTTTATGTGAATGTGAGATATACAAATGATTATAAAAGAGATCTAGTTTATGTGAGTGTGAGATATTAAAACGACAATAACATGGATCTAGTTTATGTGAGTGTGAGATATACAAATGATTATGCCAGAGATCTAGTTTATGTGAGTGTGAGATATTAAAACGATAATAACAGAGATCTAGTTTATGTGAGTGTGAGATATTAAAACGATAATAACAGAGATCTAGTTTATGTGAATGTGAAATATTAAAACGATAGTAACATAGATCTAGTTAGATAAAGATCACTCGTACATATCCCGTCATCAATATGTACCACCAAGTCTGACAGCTTTCCGCATCCTGCCATCCATGTGTACCACTGAACATGACAGCTTTCCGCATCCTGCCATCAATGTGTACCACTGAACATGACAGCTTTCCGCATCCTGCCATCAATATGTACCACTGAACATGACAGCTTTCCGCATCCTGCCATCAATATGTACCACTGAACATGACAGCTTTTCGCATCCTGCCATCCATGTGTACCACTGAACATGACAGCTTTCCGCATCCTGCCATCAATATGTACCACTGAACATGACAGCTTTCCGCATCCTGCCATCCATGTGTACCACTGAACATGACGGCTTTCCGCATCCTGTCATCAATATGTACCACTGAACATGACAGCTTTCCGCATCCTGCCATCAATATGTACCACTGAACATGACAGCTTTCCGCATCCTGCCATCCATGTGTACCACTGAACATGACAGCTTTCCGCATCCTGCCATCAATATGTACCACTGAACATGACAGCTTTCCGCATCCTGCCATCCATGTGTACCACTGAACATGACAGCTTTCCGCATCCTGCCATCCATGTGTACCACTGAACATGACAGCTTTCCGCATCCTGCCATCAATGTGTACCACTGAACATGACAGCTTTCCGCATCCTGCCATCAATATGTACCACTGAACATGACAGCTTTCCGCATCCTGCCATCAATATGTACCACTGAACATGACAGCTTTTCGCATCCTGCCATCCATGTGTACCACTGAACATGACAGCTTTCCGCATCCTGCCATCAATATGTACCACTGAACATGACAGCTTTCCGCATCCTGCCATCCATGTGTACCACTGAACATGACGGCTTTCCGCATCCTGTCATCAATATGTACCACTGAACATGACAGCTTTCCGCATCCTGCCATCCATGTGTACCACTGAACATGACAGCTTTCCGCATCCTGCCATCAATATGTACCACTGAACATGACAGCTTTCCGCATCCTGCCATCCATGTGTACCACTGAACACGACAGCTTTCCGCATCCTGCCATCCATGTGTACCA